CATTATTTTCATATAGCTTGTTCAGTATTCTTTGTGTCCATCCCCACTGTATCTAGGTGTCATGGATTCAGGAGAGAAAGTAAGCTTCAGGCAGATTGTTTGTCTTCTTTCACTGGTTCAGCGGAACTAACAGGAGTGTCAGTGGGTTTTTTAATGCGGGTGAGAGCTCCAGCAGCTGATTGTATCCTTGTGAGAAACCTACCTACCTTGGCCAAAAGCCATTAACACCAAAGTGTACACTTTCTTGCTCTCCATACAGTCAGCAGGATTTGTCCCCAGAAGCCAAATAAAAATGGCTTTTTCCTTTCTCCGTTAGCAGCAAAATTATTTTGAGTATTTGTTCATAACTGTTTCGTTAAAGTCACCTTGGATAAGGATGTATAAAGAACCTATTTGACTTTGTTTCTTTCCAAATAGTACAATAAACTTTGAGTGATTCTCAGCAAATATTACGTGTATGAGTATCACAGCTCTATATTTTTCTGCTAACGTTCATATTTACAACTTTTTGAATGTGTTTCAGAGGATATCTGTCTGTAAATCTTCCTGCTTGCAGAGATGTCTTACATGGACTGAGGATGTACAGGAAATTCTCTCATGCTTTAGTCGTTATCCATGTCCAGCTGACTTAAGTCTGCTGGAAAGAGAGCTCTTGCAGAGATTTCAGGAGATGATCCCAGTTTCCTTTGCAGCAGCTGTGATGAGAGAATATTAAATGTGCCTGTATAGAGCACAAAGAGCAGACCATTTCAGATCTCGGTGAATAGTAATCTAGATCTTTGATTCTTAGCTATTCTTTAATACTGAAAAAAAAAAAAAACATATCAAGCACAGCTGAGCCACTTACACTAAACAACAGTGATTCAGCGCTTCAATTTGCCAACAGACACATCATTATCTTCTAGTTTTTATATGTCAAAACAGTGTAGGAGTGTAAAATAGTAAAAGCTGATAAGGATTTGTACACCAAACTTGTGTTTAGAACAACTGTTGAAATGTTCTAATGTAAAGGAGGAAATAGTTTGACTTCCATTTCTTTCTGTTTATTAAAGCAGCAGTAAGTGAATTGGTTATAGAGTATTTGCACTCATCTTTTCTGCTAGCAAGATACATTGGAAATACTAGAACACTACAAGCATTCCTATTACCTGATAGCAATACATTTTAGATACTCCACACTAGCTACAGTACGATGGGGTACTGACAGGGACTGTGTTGGTAGAACAGGGAAGGATAGTTATTTTCTTATGTTTTTTGGGAAAACTGAAGTTCGGTCTACTGAGTCATCAACACCTCCATGTTATCACCATGGTTAACGAAAGCTTGTATTTCCCCAAGTGAACCAAATGAACTGATTTCTAGAGACTAACCTTGGTTCTGGTAAGACTTTCTTAGGCTATTGGGGTTTGGTCCAAGAAGTGATGTGCTTGTTCTGATAGATCTCTGCAGGAGCTTGGTGAACAGTAGCGTTGCTTTACCAAACAGACCTGTGCATTAGTTCTTGCTGCACGAAGAAATAAAATTACTCTGGCTGCTAAGCTGGTGTTAACCTACTGCTAACCTGCTGCGACCTACTAACTTGGATTACTGCTAACCTACCTCCATGGTGCATGTTAGCAGGTGGTAGCAATGCAGGGCTTAACAGAGTGAGCCTGGGAGCTTACGTCGGGAAAGTACAGGCTGCTTTGCATGCAGTAGTTATTGCAAGTTAGTTGACTTGTTGATTGTAAGGTGTAAAAGTTGCTGTCATGACAAGTGTGGGGTTTTGGTTTTAACTCGAAGGAGCAGCTCACTTACTTAACTGTGTTTCCTTCTTTTGTAGTTGCTAGATATTAAAAAATGTGCTAGTTACTGAAATTTGAACAGGCAAAAATTGTTAGAGGCAGTCTCTGCTTCTCCATCTTCTGAATGAAGACTGCATTACATCTGCCCATGTTCTGAATTGTTTTAGTTTTAATTATTGGCAGAGGATCCTGAAAGAGGTGCGTACAAATGAGGGGAAGTGGAAGTTTTCACACGGGGTGGTTGTGGAAGCAGATGCGGGCTTTGTCAAGATGACAGAAGTTGCAAAGGAAGATGTTCATGTGTCAAGTATGGTTACTCCACATTTCCCAGTATAAGAGAAGAAACTTGAAAGGACGGGACTAGAAATTAACAGCTGAAGTAATTTTACTTTATTAGTGTAAGAACTGTCAAGCTGAGGTTTCTTTAGTATGACACTGTGTCCTGGTTTAACCTCAGCCAGCAACTAAGCACCACCCAGCCGCTCACTCATACCCCCCCTGCCCCCAGGGGGATGGGGAAGAGAAATGGAAGGGTAAAAGTGAGAAAATTTGTGGGTTGAGATAAGAACAGTTTAATAATTGAAGTAAAATAGAACAGTAGTAATAATAATACACAAAGCAAGTGATACACTATACAATTGCTTACCACTGGCCGACCAATGCCCACCACGTCCCTGAGCAGCGATCGCTGCCCCCGGCCAACTCCCCCAGTTTATATACTGAGCATGACGTCATATGGTATGCAGTATCCTGTTGGCCAGCCCCCCCGGCTGTGCTCCCTCCCAGCTTCTTGTGCACCTGGCAGAGCATGGGAAGCTGAAAAGTCCTTGACTGGTGTAAGCACTACTTAGCAACAACTAAACCATCAGTGTGTTATCACATTATTCTCATATTAAATCCAAAACACAGCACTATACCAGCTACTAGGAAGAAAATTAACTCTGTCCCAGCCAAATGCAGGACACACCGTCACTGCCTAGTACACAATTCCTATTTGTAACGAAGTGTGTCTGTACAGCTTACCAGGGATACTGCTTTCCACCTAAAATTCTGCCAAGATATTGTAACAGACATCATATTCATTTGTTAGACACTCATGAAAAACAAAATAATTCTGCAGGGAGAGGAAAAAAAAAACCCACAAACTTAAGAGTATATGACAAGAAATAGTGTGTATAGTCAAATGATCTGAAGTTCTTTGGGAGAAGCCTGTGACAGGATGGCATAAAGAAAGAGAGGGGTGCTTTGCTTCTACAGCCAGAAGAACTTCCACCCAGAATTTCTGTGTTAATTAACCACCCACCCCCCACATACCACTCCTTTTTTCTCCAACAGCAAAGGAGGAATGATTGCTCCAAACATGTCACAGGCTGCTCAGTTTGCTTTAGCACTGTCAGATGCCTCCTCTTGTCCCAGCTCAGCTCTAGGTAGCTTGTATGGAGAAAATAACTGGAGGACTGAGGGGTATGGCAGAAATTTCACATTAGCGCTCTCCACCTTCAGCTATACGGGGAAAGCTCTTATATTGCTCTGTAAGTGCTCGGGCTATGTGAAAATTTATGAATCTTTAATGTTACATTATTGTGTAGGTAAATATCTGTTTGGATTCAGTAGTATGTAATCAATGGCATGATGAATGGTGATCTGGGCAACCTGCAGGTTAAAATTTCTAATGATTTTTATGCTAACAGCGTAGATAGTAGCTTCCTCTCACTCGGCAAAATAAAGTGAAGTACAACTTTAAATTTATTGCATGCAGAAAATACTGCAAGTGAATATGGAAAACAGTAACATTATTTTCCTAGTTACCAAGAAAGCTGTGAAATAGTGGTACTGCTAATGCTTTGCTCATTGTCATTATTTGGTTATCAACCTTTCTTTTTCCTTTTTTTTAGTCGTCTTTTTAGAGATTCTGGTATGAAGTCTTGGGGGAAAAAAATAAGAGAAGTCGGTGTCTTGGGTTGAATTTCTGTTTCAGATGGTCCACTTATTTTCTCACGGTTACAGTTTAAATACTGGTTTCTATTTCCCTCACAAGCCTCATTTCCTAAAGTTGCTGCCATTGCCAATGGTGACAACCTTTCCCACCAGCTCTGCTCCTGTGTCCCTTGATGTAGCTGAACTAATGATCAACTGTTGCTATTCCTTCTCCAGATCGCTTTCTTTTTCCTCCATGGAGAAAAATCAGGATAATTTTGAGGGAGGATCAAAATGATAGAAGTGCTACTGAAAGAGGGGACTGAAGCCTGAGACTCTGCTTGGAGCAGGAATACTCCATGGCCAGGCACCAGCAGGCAAGGACTACCCCAGTCACCCCACCGGGGAGGGCTCGTGGTTCCTCCGCTGTGGATGTGTGTGTCCCAACAGCAGGAGAATAGGGAGTGAGGAGGTCTCATTTGGTTGCTCCCCTGCTTGACTTTGGAGCGGCCTCTCAGAGCAGTGGTTGCTGGTGCCGGAGCAGTCCCAGTGAAGCACTTGGGATAAGTTTCAGACTCCTGAGCCTTGTGGAACAGTTGAGGCTCTGGCTGGCGCCTCAGAAATGGTGATGGGCTGCGCTGGGCAATGTGTGCTGTCCAGGACTCCGGAGAGGCATGAAATCAGAAGCTTGGTTTAGCTTGTAACCAAACACTTGGTGCCTTGAGGTTTGTGGGAATTGATTGCTTTGTATCCTAAGAAAAAACAACCCATACAACTCTTTGTACAGTAGCAGCAGCAAACCAGTATTTTGCTTAATTTTCTCTTAAGATGGAAAGAGCAGAAATATTGCCACTTTATGATGCTGTAGTACCAGGTCTGTATGAAATGACAAGGGGCAGTTACCGTGTTGCTCACTGTTCTGCATGAGGAACGTGTGGAAAGAGCGGCGCAAAAGATCACGGCACCTTGAGATAGTGATCATTGCAAAGAAGAGATGTTGTATGCGTTATCTGAAGTATTACGCGTAATGTACAAAAGATATCCACATCTTCTATTGAACATAGGTTCCAGGATTCATCCGAGTGACAGTTTAATGTACTGCTTATTTCTGGCTGATAATACTTCCTATTCTTTTTTCTGCCTTGTCTCTCTAAAGCTGGTTACAATAACGTGAAATTAGCATTTTCCAGTTCTGTCAGGAGTTTTAAATGCGCATGTTTCTAGCACCACCTGCTGCTTTTAATCCTAATAGGATCTTTAACTGCTTTTGTCTGTGCTTTATTTCTGCAGGATCTACTAATGTTTAAAAGAAAACCTTTATTAAGTAAATGGAAGATGGAGTTCAGGTATATCCATCCCTTTCTTTTGCTGAGCATGTCTGGTGTTTCCTATGCAAAGAGATCTTTTGGCTTCTGTTTAGTCTTAATGAGGAAACTGCTAAGTTGCTTTAAAAGTTAGAAAGTGAGCAGCCAGCATTTTACACAAAGTTGGCATTTTAACTCTGTAAAAGTCCTTATACAAGTGACAGAACTACACTGTAATGAGGGGCTGTGTCTTTAACAGGCTTTGCAGTCTTTGCTAAACAGTGAGAAACTACTTTCAGTGTAATTGACTTTAGAAATCTTAATTAAGAGCCTTATGTTTGAAAGTTTATCAGGAAAAGAGACATTTATGTGAACAGGTGGAATGAATAGGATGGGCTTGCAAGATATCCAGAATGACTGAATGGGAACAAGGAGATGTCCAAGGCAAGGGAATAAATATGAAATTATTGTCAGGCTGGATGTTTCAGGTTCAGGTAGTGATGCCCAGGATTTATTTCTTTTTTCAGAGTGTACAGCTTGCGAAGTACCAAGTGAATGATCTTGCAGGAGTGCGCGTGGACTTCGTGACTGCTCTGCCAAGTTGTGACTCCTCTCTCTCTTTCTCTCGGGAGCTGTTTTTTTTTTACCCAGCTGGGGGAGGTTGCTGGGCCCTCACTGCTCTTCCATGGGTGCCAGTACAACAAAGGTAATTTGTAGCAGTGGGGCAGTGGCAGCTAATTGCCTGCAACGTGCAAGGCAATAAAGAGAGGAAACTTTGCGAAGGAAATCATTTAGCTTTGTTGCAGCGAGTAGATGAGAAGGGGGAATACAGAGGGGTTTTTGATTGCCTTTCCTAGGTTGCTTTTTCTGCTTGGATTGAAACAAGTGTAGGTTCGACACCAGTGGTTTGTAGGTCAGGTTCTAGGCTCTCTGCCTGCCTTGTGGTGTTTTGGCAAAATCTTGCGTGGTTTCGGTGAGGCCGCTAAAATGCAGCATGGATTTGCTCAGTGAGGGAGTAAGAAGGATTCAGTGTCACAGCAAGGGAGCAGCAGATGGAGGGAGTAAGTCCTCCCTGTAGCAGGCTGCAGCAGCCTTTCCTGCTCCTCGGTCTTTGGGATCGTGGCACAGCATCACTGGGTGGTCCCAGAGATGGCGGTGCTGTTGTGACTCGCCACCTGTCAGCACACACCTCCTCCTCGCTCTTCACGTGATCTATTTCGGGTCAAGGAGCTCTGCTCCTGCATTTCGTGTATCTCTGAAGAATGAGGTCCTGCCCAAGATAAATAAATTGTGGAATAACTTAATTTCTCCTTTGTGTTTTCATCCTTTGTTATTTTAATAGAGAAATGGTAGCAGTCAGCTTAGCCTTAGCATTTTGAGAACTGGTGATCATCACCAATGTATAGTAAATGTCCTCTGAGATCAGAAGGCAGAGAGAAAGGATTGAATCATAGATATCCTGCAGAGAACTGAGCTACAAGCAGCAAGGAAGAACTAAATAAAAGAGGCCTTTTCTTATAAACCTTAGACTTTAATAAACAGCTAAGTTGTACAATCTTCCTATTATAAAGCAGTAGGTAGGGAGGAAAAGAAGAATGAAAGATGGAGTATTTGAAGTGGGTAGGTAACGTACTTTACCCACACATTTTTGTAGCTAAGATGTAAAACTGGATATAACCAAACAGCACAGGAAAGTAGCTCTGAGTCTGGACTTACTGAAAGATCATTCCACTTTTCCCCAGCCAGATTTTTTTTATTCACCTGATTGTTTTCTCATCCTCTTCTAACTTGTCCGCTTTGCATCCTTAATAAGGAAGAGAACTTGTGACCTACTAAACACCAAAACCCTTAACCCTGAATATATGTGCGTACATACCTTCAAGACTGGCTGCTGTGCTGTTCCCCTCTCCCCAGCTGCCCATCCTCAACTCTTGTTAATTTATGGTCACTGTCAAATTGTATATAAAAGAGATTCTTAAAGCCTATGTATAAGATTAACCATAGCCAAGCTGAAGTGAAGTCTAGATTGTCAAACATGTAAACCCAAATCTCCTTTTTTAAACACTGAATCCACTTCAGTATAGTCACTGCCTAGACTGACAAAAAAATTTCTGCCAGATACACAGGTCGTCTTGGGAACAGCAGCATTCAAGTAGTTCCAAAGATGGCTGGCAAAACTGGAGCAAAAAAACCCAAAACAAACCACTAGTCGTCTTCCTGCACTCTCATTTTCTTCTTCCTGTAAATGTGACTTTAAAAACATGTTTGGGGATAGGATCTGAAAGTGAGCATCATGTTCTGTGACTCCAGGACAGCCTAATCAAAGAAACTTAGTATTAAAAAAACTTGTGTCTGTATCAGTTTAGGTACATTTTTTCCTGTCAAAGGGCTTTTATTGATGCCGGAGGTGAAGTCCGCAAGTTGGCTAAATAGCCTCCCAGTTGGTTAAGGGATAAACTTTTTACACTCTGACACAGTCTTCTGAACACATCAGTTTGAATGTTAGATGAAGTGGCAGATGGTTAACCCACATCTGTCTGGGTGCACTGCTATGTTAATAGAGGCCTACAGCTGATCGATTTAAGTAAGAACACTTTCTGTTCCTGAAACCGTTTTTGATAGCCTATTCCATTTTGTATTGTTCAGATAGGTTTCTTTTTACGAGCGTAAAATCTTGAAGCAGATTCTGGAATTCTTTCTTTTTGAAAGAATTTCTATATATAACAGAAAATATTCTTTCCGTTTCTGTCATTCAAACTCAGTAGCCCCGAAATACCAGGAACTTAGATTTTATTAATACAAAAGGGCTGTAATAGGACCTAAAACAAATAGATCTTACAAACATTTTTACAAGACAACTAAAACCTTCTATCTGCATGAAATGAAAGAGTAATAAAATTAATTGGACACAGTTGACATTCTTCACACTTCCTGCCTGCAACTGTTAGGCTTGCAACAGAAAATAAATTATATTTAAGAAATAAGAGCAATGAGCATGTTTTCAGTGTCGGCAGTAGAATGTCTCTCAAATTCTCATTAGGTGTGTATAAGAAGGCAGAATTTTCATGTTAGGTATGATTTTTAAATGATGGTTCTATAACTGAAATGTTAACAGACTAGATTAATGATTTAACATTCTATCTGCATTTGAGATGATTAATTTTTCAAATGTGACTGGTTATGAAACTATATGATGTTCTAATATAGCAGCTGTGTCTGTAAGTTAAAAAGGGGAAAGTTGTGGGATTTTTGTGCTTTTTTTTACTAACATAGAGAAGGAACATGGATACATAAACTGCTAACATTTTAAAAATAATAAAAATACTTATGTATATTGCAATTTAACCGAAGAAAGCTGAGACAACATGCTTTTGCCCTATTGGAACAAGGCAAAATTATTAGACTTCATGGCTTTTGATTCCAAACTCTGTTGAAGTAAACCTGCTTTTACAAAGCATTATAGGTTTGGGTTAGGTTTGGTTCTTTGGAGTGGGGCTTGGGTGGTTTGTTGTTGGGTTTTTTTGGTATATTGCAATTTAACCGAAGAAAGCTGAGACAACATGCTTTTGCCCTATTGGAACAAGGCAAAATTATTAGACTTCATGGCTTTTGATTCCAAACTCTGTTGAAGTAAACCTGCTTTTACAAAGCATTATAGGTTTGGGTTAGGTTTGGTTCTTTGGAGTGGGGCTTGGGTGGTTTGTTGTTGGGTTTTTTTGTTTTTTGTTTTTTTTTTTTTTGAAGGAATTACCTTTTTTCTGGTGCAGAGTTCTTCTCCCAGAATATTTTGACCACCTGTTTTTTTTCAAGTGTCTACAGGGTGTTTCCCCAGTAAATTTTGAAATTAGCCTTCACTTATGCTGCCCTGATTGGACAACCAGGCTTTCAGATTGAAGTGTTTCTAGATAGAAGCACAAAAACTTGAAAAGATCACAAAAACCAGACAGGCTGCATACTCGTTTTAATTCATAGACATATAAAGCTGTTAACATTGCATACAGAGATTTAAACCATTAATAAAAGTGTTCTGTATTTCTTATTTGTTTGTCATGGACAGAACCTGTAGGGCTCTGATTTATTCCAGAAACAGCAAAACATTAGTTTACCACTACAGCCGTTTACTGGTCTATATATGATTATCTGGTATATCACTGCAGTTCCTTTGTCATCTGGCAGCATTAAATCTAGTAGTTTGCATACTAGAGAGAGATAATGTCATATTCTCCAAAGGTTAATTATGTTGCAGCTAAAGCAAACTTATAAAGCAACTTTCTTGTAATTTATAGTATCTTGCTTTGTTGTTGTGTTAATCAGTTCAGGTACAAATATTTGATGTTTTACGTTTACTTTAAAGGTCTTTAAAAAGCAGCATATTTGTTTCTCCTCTAGTCTTACACAAAAACCAAGCAATGGGATTTTTTTTTCCATATACTAACAGGCGAGCGCAAGCTGCTTGCATTCCAGCAATTCACCTGCACATGACTGCAGCCACCATGCAAGTCAGCCAGACAGACTTTGAAAAAGCTCAGGAACAACTGAAGCTTTTGAAAAAGGATCCTGGGAATGAAACTAAGTTGAAGCTCTATGCTTTGTTTAAACAGGTAAGCTTGACTTACTTTGCTTCATAAGCAGCATTTGTAATCTGAGGGGATGGACCTGTAAAATATTTACTTAAAATAGGCATTGTTCAAATATATTGTGTCTTAACAAGCTCTTCAAGTGCTCAAATTCTGTTCTTGAAATGCCAGCCCCTCAAACCCTGACTGAATTCTGAGGGAAGCCAAACCTGTTTCATCTGATAAATCATGCTTTGAATGGAAACCTTTATGCAAAGAAATAGAGCCAATTTACATCAATTGTGTGATGCCTTCCATATAATATAGCATATATTGATGCAGCTCTGGAAAATGGCTTATGCCTAGGAAAAAAGAGTATGCCACATGCTTCCTCTTAAATTTGTTGTATCTACAGTCAGTCAGCTGGGCCTATAATGGTGTTGACATTGGAAGGTTGATTTCTGGGGGTTTTTTTCTTTCCCCTTTTTTTTTTTTTTGCGTTGTCGTAACTTTTTTTTTTTTAAATTCAAGGAACTGTTTGTTCCTCCACGCTTTGAGTGAAGGTTATTCTTTACTACGGCATGGAAGGAGACCTTTGTAGAAATAGCTGCAAGTTCTTGGGAAGCATTTCTGGATCAAGATTGGCTGCAGGGTCAGTACAGGCTGTGGCTTGTTATAGAGAAGGTGGCAATCAGTCGCTCCTTTAAATAAACACTTAGACAGCTGACTGTTCCAGGTAGTTTTAGTAATTAATAATAATGAGCTCATAAATGTATTCTTTCTTTCCTACCTCCCACTTGAAATATTTCTCTGCAATAGTGTACTTTTCTTCAGGAAAACCAGTCATAGAATACTTCAGGATAGCTCGGACTCTTGCGGTTTAACTGGTCCAACGCCCTTGCTCATAGTAGGACCAACTTTGAAGTAAGATCCAGCTTAATATGTACTTCTTTGGATCTTTGAAGTAAGATCCTATGCAATGGTTTCTTTGTTCACACAGCTTACAAGTCTTTAACTTTCTTTTTAAGTATAAAACTTCCAGAATTTTTGAGATGGGAGAACTTAACATACATGGGCGTTTTGGAAACTAGTGTCTCATATTGGTTAGGTGCTTCTGAATGCCCAGCACCAGGTATTAGGAAATAGCAGACACCGAAACCTTCACAGTATGTGAACTGTCTGAATATTGCCCAACCACTAGGTAGTCCTTCTGTCCCAGAGTTGAATTCTGCATCCTGATCAGATAACTATTCCTAACAGTCGTCATCTTTTCTACCAAGGCATCTGAACTTTAATCAAAGGTTTAAATAAGTTTTGTTTCACTCTCTTTTCAGGCTACTGAAGGTCCCTGCAATTCTCCAAAACCAGGTATGCTGGACTTTGTCAAGAAAGCCAAGTGGGATGCATGGAATTCTCTTGGCAATTTGTCTCAGGTGATGATACCGAGATACTTAGATACTTTGTAGATTACTCTACCTTGGCCTGGTCTGTAAGTGAATGGTTGATGTCTAAATATATTATATGCTAGTTGAATGACTCTGCTTCAGACACCAAAATGTTTTGTACTGTATTCTACAGTCATTTCACTGCTTCAATGTTTGGAGTTTTTTCTACTGTGTAAGCCTAGTTCTACATTATTACTACCAGCTTGTAACAGTGTAAGATATCTTACATGTGTGTTGACTTTCAGTAAAAATAGTGTTTTTCACACTATGTTCTATTCTGCTCTTCCCTTTAAGAAAGAGAGATTGAGCTTCTCTGCTCTTACAACAAAGAGCAAATCTGTGAATCCAGCATATTCATAACTTTGTCATTTTAAAAAGTCAGCCTTTTATGCCACTGACTAGAAGACTAGAAAAAAGTGGTGTATTGAGAGCCTCTCTTCATTCTTTCTTGGTATATCTTGACATCTTTAATGCCTTTCTTAACCTTTAGAGAAGTCTTTACTTCAAGTGAAGTGAGCAGGAAGAATATAGATGCAAGGATACATAAGTGTTCTTTTTTCATGCAGACTGTAGTAAGTCTGATATCGCACATAGCTACCACAGTTTCTTTAGCTACTATTAAATGAAGGAAACATAAGATTTACAAACCAGCTGTGTCACTGCTGCATTAGGCCTGCTCTTCAGGAGTAGTTTCTGAAGTCAGTCAAAGATACTGCTTAATACAGAGGGGGTTTTTGCTTTTTTTTCTTTTAAAAGAAAACATGCTTGTGTAATTTCATGAACATAACATTCTTGTGCTGCTTTGGGGTTTTTGGGGTGTATTTTGGTTTTTTGTTTGGTTTTTTTTTGAGATGGCTCTGCAGCTTTTAGGAATAGCCAAGAAACACTTCAGGAAAAGAATCTGCTCTTGAGGTTATAGTGGACATGGAATAGACAATTTCGTGTGCTATAGGTTATGGATTATAGAATTGTTTGAAGTGTGTTATCCTTCCAAGAAAATAGGTTGTAACAACCAAGAACTTACAATTCGTTTAAATTACTGTAGAAATAGGGAGGCAGGATTCTTTAGGCTTTTGCATGTCATGTTTGTGCTAAATGAAAACTAGTGTCTTCAAGCAATTTTAAAATGCCGTAGACCCATTTCAGCTCTCTTATTTTCAGCAACACATGTTCTAAAATAAAAACTTCTATTTTGTTGGAGAAATGTCCAACTGGTAAGCAGAAACAAAGGATCCATAGAAATGTGTAAATGCTGGGAATGTGACAAAGGTCTCTGGTAATCTTAGGCGTGGATGGGGGCACTTCTCCAACAAAATAAATGCCAACATCCCGACATCTACGTGCTTTTATTTTGTGGATCCATTGCTGCCACTTGACAGATGACTTTAAGCATGATCTGCAGTGTTTAATATAGCATGTTCCTCTTCTCGGCCTAATTAGAATGCTTTCTAATTGAGATTTTTGTTGTTGCTTTTGTCCTGAAGCACAGTTCCCTTCCACCCTCCCCTCCCCCAGATACCCGTTTTATGAATAGCATAACAGATTTCCATTTCAGCCTTTGATAATCTTGTGTGATTTTTTTTTTTCTTTTTTTTCTTTTCTTTCATTACAGGATAATGCCAGACAGAAATATACTGAACTCGTCTCAAGTCTGGTCTCTGCAGAATCTGCTGGCCAGAAGAAAGATGCTTCTCCAGAAGAGAGCAGACATGATGGCTATGAAACAATATTAGTTACCACCAAAAACAATATCACAAAGATAACGTTTAACCGACCTGATAGGAAAAATGCCATCAACCATAAGGTAAAGAAATTAACTTGGGAGTATTAGTGATTTTTATTTTCCTGGGTAAGCTACTTAAGTTTCTAAAGAATCATTACTACAGGTTTAGCAGAACTGACTGAAGCAAGGTGGTCTGAATTTAATGAGGGCTTAGTATCTCAACTCCGATGACAACCTAGGGAATAAATATCCAGTACAAAATGAAACCATTCAGCTAAAATTTTGCAGATTGGACTTTTCTGTGTCTCTTGGGTTTTTTCAAACTTATTATAGGATTATGGTCTGCACTAAACTAAAATGGCAAACTGCAGGAAGACTAGCATGTTTTGTGGATACAAGATTTGAGTGTAGCCTTATGTATAACCAAGCATGTGTGGAGCCTACTTTGGCTCAACACTGTTGCGTGTATGCCTAGTTAGTCTTTCAGTTCCCATAGCTAGCTTCTTGAGGAAGTCGTCCTGTTGGAAATGTGATCATCCTGTTTCACAATTGCAAAGATACCAGAACAGGGACTTCACTCCAATTCTTTAATGTATTATTTTGCCCACTTAAACTACTTCTCAGGTTTTAAAACTAGCTGTTTAATGTCTGTTTTCCAAAGGACCTTATTTTGTCCTTTAGATTTGCATTGAAAGTCTTGAGGATTGCAAGCATGTGTGTCTATGGTCAGAAATATCTCACATGTAATACTTAACTGTCTGTGGATGCAAATTTTTTTTTTGTACTTAAAAGGACCATAGTTAATCTGTCTCTCAAGTTCCTTGTTGTCAGTGTGAATCTCCTTTTTATGATCTTTTGCAGCATCACATTTGTACTTTGTTGATTTTCTTCTTATGCAGATGTACAGAGAAATTATCAAAGCGCTTGAAGAAGCTGGCAAGGATGATTCTACCATAGCAGTTATTACTGGTACCACACTTCATATGCCTCTCTTAGATTTGTTTATATTATGCCAAAGTACAGTACCGACGTGAACTGTCTACCTCTATTTAAACTAAGATAGAATTGTGTAAGTGAGGAAATTCTTTCCCCTAGTATAGACCAAAGATTTTCCAAAGTGTTTTGTCAAAACTCTCTCGAGGTGGTGTTTCAAATTCTTTAGCAAGCTTGCTGTTACATCAAAACATCTTTCTGAGATGAGAAGATAGACATGGAATACTCCTAAGGGCTTTTATTACTTTTGAGTAGCTGATATATCTGCTCCACAACATCTTCACTACTGCTTTTGAAGTTCATTGGTATGGATTTAGTCAATATTCTCTACCTTTGTGATACATTGGGACATAGTAAAAACAAGCCCCTCAAATCCTGCACTGGCACGGCCAGTAGAAAGTTTACACTGCATGTTTACCTATGATCATCAGAAAAAAATGATACTTCATGTTGATTTCTTTTGTTTTTCCTGTGGCTGCCATAGGGAAGGATTGGCCAGGCAAACTGCAACCTGGTCCAGCTGTATACATCCCAGTCGCCAGATGTGTGCAGCTGGATGACTGCAGTAGCAATGTGAGAGGGCAGCCCAACGTCATACTGCCTGTGAAGTCTAGCTGCTTTGGGGACATGTCATTTGGATTTTCTAGAGGACCCTGTGGTGCATCTCTGATGCTAACACAGTGGCAAGGGCAGGCAGGAGGGACAGAATGCCTGAGGGCAGGCGCTGCCTGTCTGGCCCATCCTTGTTGCAGATAGGTGTGCATTTAGGAAATTAGCCAAAGCTTGAGTTTTGGCTGGCAGCTAAGTAGTGTGAACGCAAGGTGAATTTGGGCTTAAACCCATTTACTCATTACTTCTGAGGTAATTGCATACGTATTCTTCTCCACTGTCGTCTTTACCAACACCTTGTATTCCCAGGGTGCTGAATTTCCTTTCAGTAGCAACGACTAGGCACAGCAACTCTTACAAAATGAGAAGCGTAGTTCGCACAACTGGAATGTGTAACATATATATAGCTAGGAGTAAATAGCAAACACCCCTGCAAAAACCTTTCTGTTCCATTTTATGTAGTTAGTAAGAGCACTGCAGCGTAAGTAATGGATGTGCAAACCAGTGAAAGGTCCCGTCCTGTGAACGTCTTCATGGAACACAGGGTGATTTAGGCAATTAAATCATGCAGTCTAGCTTTTAAACACTCCTTGCTTTTTTGGTGGTGTCTCAAACTGACTTATACATTCACTAACAGGTTATCTGCTTCTTATTGAAGAATACATCTTTCAGTACAATGATTTCAATGCAGTGCTGTCAGTCTTCTTAGAATGCAGTGCGTTTTCCTTAATTGGTCATAAAAAATGTGAAACTTCTGGAACGTATTAAATAGGTTATTCTGTCTACTTTTGATTCCTTCATCAGTTTGAAGGGGGATGAAGAGAGATGCATAAACTTACATTTCCATTTTCCTGTTTAAAAAAAAAAAAGTTTCTCACATCTTATTGTGTGAATGTTTGTGAATTGACAGGAAAAAAACCTGAGCAAGTATGGAGGGAAAGAAATAAAATATTTTTTTTCCATCTGACACTGTTACGGAAAAAAGAAAATCCTTCCCCCCCAGATCTTTCAAATTTAATATTCTTTGGCTTTTTACCCATTGTTTTTCAGCGAATTGTCAGTCAAAACTAACTTTTAAACCATAGATGTCCTTTAAGGTAGTGTGTATACTTTGAGACAATCCCTCTAATTACTTAACAATGTTAGACACTTAGAATGAAATTCTTTTTTAAATGTAATAAATGGAAGCTTCTCTTCTCTGACCTGCTCAGAAACCATTGGTGCATTTGTTCATGTGTTCTCTGCAGGAAATGGAGACTACTATAGTAGTGGAAATGATCTGAATAATTTTACTAATATCCAACCCGGTGAAATGGAGAAGATGGCAAAAGATGGAGCAGTATTACTCAAGTAGAACATCTTGATTTCATATATGCATAAGTTACTGTAATGGGTAAAATATAATCTGCAAGCATTGTTAGAAAACACGACAGTAGGGACCCAGTTATGCTGTGATACATCCATTGAGATGTCTGTGTCTAAGGGCTTACCATGTGCACAAACACAAAGATCATGTGGGAGAAGTAGTATTAATTGTGTGAAATAAATGAGGAAATGAGATTAATATTCTAAGTCTTTTTAAGTCCAGTGATGCTAAAGACTCGATTTTATTTTCTCGTCCCCAAGTACCTGCAGATATAATGACAAAAACATGATTTTGACTGTGTTGTTTGTAAGCTGCAATGAAAAATTTGTGGGTTTTTTGATATCCGGCAGTGTCTACACTAGCAGAACATGCCAAAATACCTTCGCTGTCAGACGACTTTGAACAGAGATGAGGTGTAATGAACTTGTTCAAAATTGCCCAGCAGTTCTGAGATCTTGATTCCATCTTTTAAGTCTGAATCTACCCGTTAAACTAATTTATTTTGTGTGGCCAAGGAGACTGGGGGCATCATCTGACACAGTGGCTGAAATTTTTTGGGGGGGACAAGCAACACGTTTCTTTCTTCCCTATTTAAGCAGATTTTTGTCTTCTCTTTTACTTCTGTATGTGATGATTATATCTGAGATGCTTGCAAGTTGGATTGCTTCCTCAAGCACTTGCAATTGATGGAAAAATCTAAAATACACAGAAAAGCAAACAGTGTTTTCGGTTTATATTTTAAAGATGAACTGCAAGTAAAGTACTCAGTTTTGCAGTTTTTATTTAGGCAAGCTGTCTATGGATCACAGTTGCCCCTACAAAGTGACGATCACACAGTCCGAATCTGTTGCAAAGATGTTATTCAGTGGTATCTGGCAAGCGTTCCAGCCTGCAGTGTTTTGTAGGGTGTTCAACACAATGCAGAGTCTCACGTGTGCTTTATGGTCTTCCATCTTGCTCTTGTGAGAAGACTATTTGCTTTGCTGTTACTGCTACACAAGCACAGTGCTTCGTTACAGCTGATGCGCAGAGATGCCAGAGAAGTAGAGTTTTTACAACGCTGTTCACTTTTGAAAAATATTCTATTTGAGAATGTATTTTGCACTTCTTGGATGGAGAAGGAGCTGTCAAATGAAACAAAACACCATTTCTCAAACCCAGGCGGAACAGCGCTAGGGAATTCTGTGTTGTGGTAGCATCACAATTTTGGTGCCTGCTGGGGCTTCACTGCAGAACAGAACCTGTGAGGGGAATGGCTGTCCCATGGGTGGGGTTGCGATGGATGTAGGGGCAGATAGGTAGACAGGGCAAAGGATGGTTCTTGTTAGTGAGCTGTACTCAGTAACTGTAGCTGAAGAGGACAGCGCTTTCATAACCTCATTGCAGGAACTAGGAAGGCTGTGCTGTCATCCACGTGTTTGGTTCTTAGTTGGTAAGGAAATGCAGGTATTTCAAATAGTTGTTATTTTCTATGTCAGAATTCATTTGGGCAAGGGACAAAAACATATGCTACATAGAATCTAGCTCATGGGTTTTGTTATGCAGTATCTAATCATGTGTTTTGAAAGTTGTTTATATTTGATGAAAAAGATTAGGATGTGCCTCTTACATTCTGATTTTCCTTCTCTCTAGAGAGTTCGTGGGTCATTTTATTGATTTTCCTAAGCCACTGATTGCAGTGGTGAATGGCCCAGCTATTGGAATCTGCGTAACAGTCCTTGGATTGTGTGACATTGTCTATGCTTCTGACAGAGTAAGTACCTTACATAGCTGATCCCAAAGCAGTCTTTAAGCCTCTTTCTGTAGCAAATATTATTTGGTTTGGGGTAATCTGACAGAAAAGAACAAGTGTAAAGGCTTTTTACATCACATCAAGGAACACCTATATTAATTACCAGCACGGAGTGCATCAGCCAGTGGTTAACACACGTGGAATTTCCCTGCTGTAGTTCTGGTTATCAAGTTACTAACTCCAATTTAGAAACTCTTTACTGTATCAGTGGGTAAAGTAAAGAGTAGCTGATGTGAAATGATGGTTGTAAGGCCCCTTTCAGGTGTGGGAGGGGGAGCAAAAGATTATTAAGGAATGGAAGTGCAGTAACTGGCATTTTATCTACTCTGTGTTCCAAAGTAACTTTGGAAAACCTTTGATTTATTCAACTTAAGATTCCTTTTAAAGGTAACTTGCCAGATACATAACCGAAAGCTATATTAAGGCATAGCACAGAATCCCGTTATATGGCTTATTTTTTTAATGTTCTGTGCTGTTCATTTGTATAAGGTTATTAAACGAATACAGAACTTAACCCAAGGTCTTAATTAATTTTAGGCAAGCTTTTGCTTGCAGAAGTGTCTATGACGGGTGGTACTTTGACTCCTGCTTCAACGCTGTGTCAGATTTCTCCACAAAGTCCCTGCTGGATTGGGTTTGTCACTGTGAAATTTAGGAAAATTGAGCTGCAAGGGACCAAATCCTTCTGCTTGCCCTGTAACAGGATCAGCTAGGACCGTGTCACTCCTGACATAGGCATGTATAATGTGCATGATTTATTCAGTCTATTCTGGTCCTTAGATCTCTTCTTTTACTAGAAGATTCTTGGGTTCTTCCTCTTCTTCCCTTCCCATCTGATCTTTTTTTGCTGCAGGGTGAACCTATTGTTTCTTGTTCCAGAATTTAAAGAACAAGACTATTTTCATCCTCCCTTACAATAGCCATAAGTGTGCTTAGCCATCAGTGTACTTAGGCTGTTAGATATATCTCAGGTTTACATCCACTCTCTCAATCTTTTCTTTTTTTGAGCTGAATAGCTGCAATTCATTCATTTTTTTTTTTCTCATGTGCTTTCTTAGGCCTGCAGTCACATTCCTCTGGACTCCTTCCAGTTGTTTCATGTCTCTTTAAGTATAGTGGCACAAACTGGACACATCGCTCCAACTCGTGTCTTACTGATACAAAATAGAGCAGAACAATTTCTCCTCATTCTGCAGACTGTATTTCTGTTTTGACATCCCATGATGTTACTTAATTTACATACTTGTGATCTCCTATTACACCTGGATCCCTTACTGTAGAGTTGCCAGTTAAACAGTTGTCCCTATTGTCTATCGTATACTGCATACCACGTTATTCGTGCCAAACTTTAACTTGATGGTATTAAATAGCATCATCTTACTCGTACCTCGCCACTTTATTAAGAATATCTTGAATTCTAATCACTTCCCCCTAGGCATAATATCTCCTGCAGCCATAAGTTAGTATAAATTTAGTTGAAGTTTAATCCAAATAAGCATTAAATGTTTTGTCCTGTTAATAGTATCCTTCTTTCTTGAAGGATTCATACCTCATACTTTGAGAGGCATACTTGAACCTCCTTGAACTACTTGAACTACTCATATACATAACTATGGGTAAATGCATCTTATTTTTGCCTTGTATTTCTATTTTTTTAATCTCTGCATGCTTACATTCATTTCAGACTTAGTTGTCTGACGTAGTTTTCACTTTCTGTGTACTTGTGTTTGAAGTCAGTGATGAGCTCATGATTTAGCTGAGACAATCTGTTAGTACCTTCCTACCTGCACTGGGACAGCTTTTGCTTGTGCCCTTGGTAACAGCTCTTTGAGGATTTCTTAGCTTTTCACTTTAGATTAGTCTCCATGAGAACTTTCCTATTAACTTCAAGTTTAGTGAAGCCTTCTCAAAGGTGGTTGTTCTCTAGTCTTCCCTTTCCAGGGCTGTGAATTCCTGTGCAGTAAGGTCATTCTCATCCAAATTACTACTTAATTTCACATTCTCCAGTAGTTTGGTTGGAGTGCCTTAGGCATTGACTACCTACTCCAGAAGTAGCTAGCTTTTCTATGTCCAGGGTCTGGTTTTACTCTCAGCCAGGTATTCCCAGAGCAGACCATTACCAACCACATTTACGGTACACTGTGCAGCCCAGTCTGACAACAGATCAGCATTTTGGGCAGGCAGTTGACATTGCCTTCTGCACTGGATTTTGCTCCAGTTCCTGGAGCACCAGTTTGTACCAGTTTGTACCATGTTCATCTCCCCTTGCTAAAGCAGGACCAATTACACTAGCCTGTATCCTGGCAGACGTCTAATCTTTTCTTACAATGATCTAATTGTCACTTTCATCCTAGGGAGTCTATTGATCTGTCTTACTGCACGGCCATCTGCAGTACAGTAAGAGATGATTACCTTCTATTACACTGAAAGCTGCTTTGGCAACTTGTGCACTCTTTGTGTATCAGTTCATATTTTTAAATGGAAATAAAGGCAAGCATTTTGTCTTCCTTGCTTAAAGTTGATGTAAGTTGTCAAAACATAAAATTCTCCACTTCAGCTCTAACTTGCAATTAGGGTATTATTTTGTATGATCCCATGATGCGTTTCTGCCACAGGTTCTTTTAAAATTTGCATAAAATTTGAGGACATAAGATTCAACGACTTGAATTTTTCAGGAGTAGAATAAACTTAGTGTGCCTACAGAAAGCAAAATGCTCTTTACCTCTTAAGGTATTTGGGCTATGTATTTAATAACTTTTAGTGCAGATGTGTATAAACATCTTTTCTGTAAAGATTTTGCACATCCAAGTTAGTTTCTCTAAGCACTGTATTCAATTAAGGTAACTTCATCAGTGGGGTTGTTATGATAAGGGAATTGAATTATACAGACAAAGTCAGCTCTTAGGTGCACTGAGAGGATGAAACGATGTTACCAAATGGTATTTAAAGACTATTATGGTAACAGTTCAAATGTATTTCTGGTGAACTCTGTCACAGTAGAAGCTTTAAAATGAAAACTAAATCATGTTACTTTAGTCCTGTGCTCTGTTGTGAGATTTGCTTTGGGTTTTTTTGTTTGCTTGTTTGTTTTCCCCAGGCTACATTTCACAGCCCATTTAGTCAACTTGGACAGAGCCCAGAAGGATGTTCCTCTTACCTGTTTCCAAAAATCATGGGCTTAGCTAAGGTAAGAACGTCTGCACTGTATGTGGGGTCACCTGACCTTTGCGTGTTGGTATCCTCCAACTGTAAGAGCAGGTGGAGTCTCCGCAAGAGTCCTCAAAGAAAGCTCCTGTTCATATCTTTTGAAACAAAGATCAAGAAATGTAATGACAGTGTCAGCACAGGCACCATAGCAGAGTAGTGACCACTTGTAAAGCCATACTGTGATACCGATGAAGGTTTTCTTTCCCATGGCCTTCTCCACCTTCTGGAGACAATTTCTATATGGCAAAAAGTTGTATCTTTCTTACAGCAATGAGAGGGAATGATGTAAAGAAGGATTAAAAAAAGAAAATAAGAGCACTCTTAAGAAATGTCTTGGTAGGCTGCCTTTATCAGGCAAGGGAGCAAGTGTTGCAGTGGTTTCTGCCAACCCTGTGGGAAACTTGTATTCAACCATTCCTCCAAATGAGAATGTGAAACAATCCATTTATGTATTTACTTACAGACCTTTTAGAGAATCTGTTTTGTTCTAATATACATTGGTCTTCTGTCCATACTCTTATTTTCTCTGTCTACTCTAGAAATAAGGAAACTAAATAATAGTAATTAAAAAAAAAGAAGAAAACGCAAAGAAAAAAAAGGAGAGACAGCAGAATCTAAATTTTCTTTTCTTAGAATGGCATAACTCCCTTTCTGGTCTTTTGATATCCCACAGGAAAAAAAATGATAGTTTCAAATACTTATCTGATATTATTGCCTGCATTAATATAATGTGGTTTTGTTGAGCTGGGTTTAAATCTGTAAGGAGTAGAACAAGTGCTTCATAAACATCCAAGTATCAAGGGTCGTCTATTCAGTGAGCTATAACCTACCAGTACATGTTCTAGATATCTTGGAGTCACTGCAGGAAGTGAGCAAATGCATTCATGATGCGGTAATTTCAGGTGACAACCTTGGAGCTCTGCTCAAAAAGACATGTAGACTCTTGGTGAACCGTAGGAGCTGGAGGCCAGCCGCTAGTGGTGTAGCCCTGGGGTTGATACTGGGTCTAATACTTATTAACCTCTTCACTATGGCTGGGATGATGGGACTGAGTGCACCCTCAACAGGTGATACAGAACTGAGAGGAATGGTTGATACACCAGATGCGTTGCCATTCAAAGGGACATGGACAGGCTGGAGAACTGGAGAATCTCATAGACTTCAGTAGAGGAGAAAGCAGAGTCCTGCGCCTGGGAAGAAATAATCCCATGCACCAGCGCGTGATGGGGGTTTACTGGCTGGAAAGCAGCTTTGCAGAGAAGGAGCTGTGTGTCCTGGTGGGCAAGTTGCCCATGAGCCAGCAATGCACCCTTGCAGCAAAGGCCAACGGCATCCTGGATTGCATTAGACGGAGCATTGCCAGCAGGTTGAGGGAGGTTATTCTTCCCCTCTGCTCAACACTGGTGAGACCACAGCTGGAGTGCTGTGCTTGGCTCTGGGCTCCAGCTACAAGAGAGACATGGACATACTGGAGCAGGCCCAGCAAAGAGCCACAAAGATGATTAAGGCACTGGAGCATATTACATATGAGAAGAGGCTGAGAGAGCTGGGACTGTTTTTCCTGGAGCAGAGAAGGCTTGTTTATAAATACCTGATGGGAAGGTATTAAGAAGATGGAGACAAATTCTTGTCAGTGGTGCCCAGTGACAGGACAAGAAGAAAGGGGTACAAATTGAAAGACAGGAACTTCCATCTGAACATAAAAAAAAAAAAAAAAGTTTTATAGTGAGGGTGGTGAAACACGGGAACAGGTTGTGCAGAGGTGCTGTGAAGTCTTCATCCTTGGAGAAGTGTCTTCATCCTTGGAGATACTCAAAACCCAACAGGACAGAGTCCTGGGCAGCCTGCTCCAGCTGACCCTGCTTGGGCAGGGGGTTTGAACTAGACAGTATCTGGAGGTCCCTTCCAACCTCATCAATTCTGTGATTCTGTGTTCTTTTCAGAGGGCAGACATTAATGAGCAAGAGAGTAAAATAAATGTGACTTGGAAGCTTGTACCTTTCCTGTCAGATTACTCAAGTCTTGTGTGTCATTGAATCACACTTTCTACTTTTCTTTATACAGGCAAATGAGATTTTGCTTTTCAATAAAAAGCTGACTGCAGCAGAAGCCTGTGCCCAGGGACTTGTGACTGAAGTCTTCCCCGACAGCACTTTTCAGAAGGAAGTTTGGGCAAGATTAGAAGCTTATGCAAGCCTCCCCAAAAATGTCAGTATTTTAATTTTTTCTCCACCTTGTAAGCCTGTAGCATTCCCAATCCTCCTGCCAAACCTATCCTGCTACTTGGTTTCACTTCACCCTAATTGAAATAACCAGACTCGATATATTTTCCTTCAAGCACAGGTCTGTCCCTGTCCCTCTGCTGCTGTGAAACAGATACCTCTCTTCTACCCTGGCTGAGTCTAAAACAGTGCACCGTACACAGAGATTCGATGCCTGAAAAGCCTTAAAAATTAATCCACTTGGAATCTCTGTGCGTGCCTTGGGTTCCTTCTCTTAGATTTTTGTTTTGACAATAGTTTAGGCTTAAGAGCCTTACCACTGGTTCTGCAATATTAATTGTACTGTGTGCACTGTGGGTGCTCACGATGACGCTGGATGGCTTTCCTTTTTGCTGAATTCAGTCCTCCTGCTTGCTAGTTTGAGTTTTGCAAAACTACTTGAGTCACAATGGTATTATGTTACATTGAACTCGTGGCAACTGCTGATAATGTAGGTTGCATTTGGCACTGCAGACAATTGAACAGGATTAGCTACTTATGCCCATCTACTCTGATTATGAGCACTTAATGGACTGCTGTTTTGCTTCCCATGAACCTCCTCCACCTTTTTAGCAGTCTTAGTAATTAAATGCAATAATTACTTCCAGCAAAAAGGTTGGCTAACAGCTAAAAAATATAATGTTACTACAACTCTGTTTGAATTGTAATGTGTTTATTGTGCTATTTTCTGAAACATTAAATTAAGGTATAAAAAACATAACTTCCTAATGTTCCTCTCTTTCTCCTCCAGTCCTTGGCAGTGTCAAAGCAACTGTTACGAAGTATGGAAAAGGAGAAGCTCCATGAAGTCAACAGTAGAGAGTGTGAAGTCCTGAAGGAGAGGTGGTTATCTGATGAATGTGTAAATGCTATTGTCAGCTTCTTTCAGAAGAAATCAAAACTCTGATCTTCACCAGTAGAATAATTCACCTTCTGGCAATAGCTTAAGCTGCCCTTATCGTTAAACTTTTCTCTTCAAATAATAATTCTTACACCTTTTGATGTGGTGTATTTCTGTTCTGAGTACTGGGTTAAAACTGGTTCATAAAATTAATACAATGGTATGTGCCTTGGATGCATTATGGATATTTAGGTTGGGGGGAAAAAAGGTTCATTACTCTGTAGGCAGCAGTGATGTTTCTGAATAAGGCTAAAGCAGATTGTCTTCCAAAAGAAGCAACAGATTCAATAGCACCATATTTTGGTAGCTCTTCAATAAATGTCTTATGAGTGATTCTTTTTATTCATCTGTGGGGAAGGAAACACTGTATTAATGAAAAAATAAATAGAAGTATTTAATTACTGTTGTGCTGATTCTTACTTCTTCTATTAAACATCCTCAGTGAGAGGGAAGGTAGTTCCTGGAGGTGTATTAATATAATAGTCTTACAAAAAGTATTCACTTGACTAACTTGGAAGATTCTCAAAGATGTTTGTAGTGAGCTTTATGGTTCTAATCTTAAATATATTTTTCCATTAATTGCTTCATATTGCCCTTTTCTGTGAAAAATCCCATTAAAGATAGTATGACCTTTTATCATAGCCATTTTGGAGTTAAATTAACAAAACAATTATTTTCCAACAGAAAATTTCTCCACTGTTCGTGGATGTCTGGGTAGAGAACGTACCAGGCACTGCAGGGGACAGGGTCAGGCTGCTGGAAGGAGGTAGACATTTTATTCATGCTAACAAAAGGAAATCGTAGAGGAGCAGCAGTTACTCATCATGAAAAGCTTCTCAATGACAAGGAGCTGATTGTTGTAATAAAAAAAAAAAAAAAAAAAAAAAAAATTTTAATTCAGAGCGTTAAACTCCCAAAAGGCGGCACGCTGGTCCTGGCCCTGTGTGCTTAGGCAGGTACGTACATAAAAGCAGGAGTTCAACGGGTGCCTGCGGGTGATGCAGAGGGAGGTTGGCATAGGTGCAGCAGAGGTCAAGGTGGATGCCAGTTTCTTGTCTGGATGCGAGTGCCGGAGCACCGGGGCGCAGGACGGGGGTGGGAGCTGCTGGAGCAGAGGAGCGAGCTGCCAGAAATGGACGGCTTTGGGTGCCGCCAGCGTGCCTGGGCCGAGACCTGCGGTGCCGCTGTTGGAAAGTCACCTGTGCCTGGGCAGTACGGCCATGCAGGGTGACTGCTTGGCAGTGACGCTGCTGCCTCGCATGGTAAGCAGGTCTTAAAATCCAGACTTTGCCTCCAATGTGGTACCTGGCCCTTGGGATTTAACTACTGAGAAAGATAAATGGGATCAGAGACAAAGAAAAGGAGGAGTGTGGATATGCGTCCCGCAGCTATGGTACAGCAGTTAAAAGTGACACTAAGAACTATTAAATATATTTAGGGCCCTCCTTCACCCTCTGAGAGAGTCGATGCTGCCACACAGGATGTACCAGCAAAACCAAGTCTGCTGTCGCACACAGGATGGCAGAAGCAGGGCCAACAGAAACACGGGGAGAGTGAAGCGGTAGAGAGGTACGGGGGAGAAGGAGAGGGTAAATCTGCCAGGGAGACCCGAGACCAGCCTTGAACCCAGCTGACAGGAAAGAGAGGGAAACCAAAATAATTTCCCGTTACGATGAAGTAACACAGAAAAGGGCAGGGGAGGGCGTGCTTCCAGCAGGTGTGAAACAGCCAAGGGACAGGGGGGCTCTTCTGCCTTCCCTCCCAGCACCCAGAGAGGGGATGTGGCCCTAGCCCCCAAGGCATGGCGGTGGGAGGAAGGATGCCTCTGTGGGGCAATGTGCACGGGCAATGCCACAGGGCTGGTGCAGGGGTGGGACTGAGGGGTGGCCGAGGCCCAGGGGATGGTGGCAGGAGAAGCAATGAGAGAAGAAACTGAGCCGGAGACCCAGGTGGGAGGCGAGTGCTGCCGGCAGGCTAGGCAGGCTCAGGGCCACCATGGTGCCCCAGCCCCATGAGGTAACAGCCTCCGCTATCCCACCCAGGTGCACCCCGCTGTGGATGGGGCAGCCATTGGGCAGCAACAGGTAGCCCAGTGGGGCCACCTTGGCTCCGGGCAGGCGTTGCCGGGCCACCCCAGGGTGTGAGGCTCAGTGCTGGCTACAAAATGGCGGCAGTTGTGCAGGGCAAGGAAGAGGCCAAGAGCTGTGACCCTGGCCCAGGGCAGCCCCTGGGCTTGGGGCAGCAGAGGGGACGTGCCTTCAGGACCAGGGGGTGAAACATGGATTTGTCTTGCCAAGGCTTTTTTTTTTTTTTTTTTTTTTTTCCCCCCCACGCTGCTTACATAAGCCTGAAACACTTTCTGTGGGGTTTTTATGGCACTTCGGTGGTGGTGTAGTGGTGACCATTGTTGGCATAGCTGGGGATAAACAGTTGTTCAGTCTTTTGAAAGCTCTTTATCAGTGATAACATTTAGTAGATTTAATAGAGCACGTGGTAAGTCATCAAGTGTGTTTCGTGTGTGTGTGATGTGTTTGCTTTCCTCGAGGGAAAATGCAGCCATTGATAATCAGTTGATGGATGAAATAGCAGAAACAGGGTTTCCTCGGTCGGTAGATGCCAGCATACCACTTACAGCAATGGGAGATGAACCATCACTGGTTTTGTAATGAATTAGATCTGTTGAAATATTTTTTCCTGTTCTGACTCTCTCTGAGTTGTGAGAATAAGTCAACATTGCTTCTAGGGAATGGAAATCCTGGGTGGTTTTAGTTAACTTTTTGAAAAGTTAAATCATTGTCTCAGATCATTTATGAAGTTTACTTCATAACTCTTTTGTTCACAAAACATGTTTCTGATTAGCAGCATCTTTAGTAGTTTTTACACATTTTATAGGTGTCTGATATTAAGAACAACAAAGCAAGTCTGATGAATCTCTTCCAACAATTTCTATTTACTCCATACAACAAATTAGCAACTTTAGATAATTTCTTCTGAAATACAGTCACTTGCTAATAATATTTATTATAATTGGATTGTCAGGATTACATCAAACGTTCCTGAATGTTCCTTATGTTCCCATCAAGGTATCACCATTGGGTGGTGTACATCTTGCTAACATGGGGGTGCAATGCACAATAGGATTCAGGTCACACTTGACACAATTATGTACGTGCTTAATAATCTGCCTCCATGTTTGTATAGAATCACAGGTAAGTAATCAAACAGATCCCACAGAAATACCAATGGCAAGATATCTGCACCTAGTTTCACAAAATAAGGTGTTCTAAGCTTACACTGGATATAAGACCTGCAACTTTCATTGATTATATTCATTATAGTTACTGCTAATACAACACCTGTTTGACTAAAAGCAGATTTGAGACCAGCAATTAGAAATCCAAAGCCTGTCAAAAATACAAAACTCTGCATGTAAGGGCATTGTGAAACATTAGTGATATACTCCATATTTTTATCATAAAGGATTCAGTATTTTCAGGCTGCATCATGATGGTGGCTTTTATGTTTCTAACATTAAATTCACAGTTTAGTTGTAAATATCCTGTAACAACTCTGCTGCATTAAAGTGCCTCTCCTTTGTCCCAGCTGAATGTGAACACGTCCATGAGGGTAACATAGTAGATCTCATATCTAAACAAGGACTCTTAAGTTTTTCAAACAAGTTAGAGTTTATAATGAAAAAGTCTAAACCATGGCCATTCTTAAAAGGTTTCCTCCATCTATACCTTTCCTAGATATTTAGGGACAGACAACTATGCACATTACATAATCTTCTTGCAGTAACTAAACAAAATATTTTCATTCACAGAATTTTCTTGGAGGATTGGTTTTCCTCTTTGATTTGCAAACTCGCTCCGTATTGCCTGTAACAAGAGAAATGTAATATCAATACATTTTAGCCCTAAGTAGGTGGAATAGGTCTAGAATGCAACATCTAAAACCTGGGAAAAAAAACCCAAACCAAATCCTTTTGTGACTTATTAACCGCTTCTCCATTCAATATAATCGAGATGTGTACAGTTGAAAGCAGTTTGTATAGAGCATTTAACATGATATTGCTTTAATTAATCAGTTGTTGTGGAACACACCTGTGATAGCAGTTCAGGAGCTTCTCACTGAGAAGGTTACGCAGCACAAGATGACGACTAACTGCACTTGCAGCGAAGCCTGCAGAGCTTTGCAAGGCAATCAGTTCAGGGTTTGCAGGGGGGTTGGAGCAAAAAGGCTAAGATTGCTGTTGTCATATTGTCAGAAACTTTGGGATTAAAATATAAATCTGTATGACTGAAAATTCTATAGTAGCTTTTCAGGGGGTTGCAGCACAGCGTGTGTCCCTGCGTGAATCCTCCTGCTGTCCCAGAGGTGCCCTGAGCTCTGCATTCCAGGCTGAGATGTTCTTTTCCGGGACTTGCAAACCTCATGAACCAGCGCTTTTCATGAGTGCAAAGCTTACATGCACCTATATTACGTTAGAGACATAGAGTGCTAAGATTATGAAGAAAACAAGGTTTGTAGGAAGATATCCTTTGTTAGAGTGGTTGGAATTTTTTTCTGGCACATAGCTCTTTCTTCACGTGTCCTCAGAAGCACACCTCTCTTCTCTGACTATGGTAGTTAGTTTTACAGAAGTTATTTCTCCCCACCTAAAATCCCCGTCTTGTTCAAATGCAGGCACAACATTTGAGGTATGTTATTAAAAGCCAAGTTCAGCTACTGGAACTAACAGATACACGCTTGTAGCAGGTTGAAACTTTCTAGTAAAAGATCAAAGAAAAAAAAGGTAAAAGTGATAATTTCTGAGAAGTGTTTTCACATGCACTGTATCCCAGATGGGTTTGTTCTTTTTGCAGGACTCTTGCAGACTTCCAGTGGACGTATTGATAGATTTGAGGTCATCTGAAAATAAGTGTAGCACAACACAGGTGGACTTCGTTGGCCAAATCAGTTAGGTATCCTGTTTGATTTTGTATTCCTTGTGCTCATTCTGAAACATGTTTCTGATACTTAGACAAAACTGTTTTCCTTACTTTAGCTAACTCAAAATATCAACAAAGCAGCAATGTTTCATGCCTGGAAGAAGACACATAATGAAGGCAAAATTGCTGTGAGCAGGTAAAAGAATGTTTTAATAATTATACCAAATTAAATCGAGTAGTTAATGTCACAGCCAGCCAGCCAGGCTGAACAGGTGAGAGCAATGCATGCAAAGACATGTTAGCACTCTGTGGAATTAAATATCAACAGGTAATTATCAGCTTATATATTTTCTAATTGGAGCGCTCAAAGGGCCTTTATTAATTGATGTAAATTTGTTTTCATTGAAGTTAAGGAAGGGCACTTGGGAAGTAACCAACAGTATGTTCAAGTGAAAGCCTTTAGTCT